TGTGCTAAGTGCCAGTACTAGTTAATACTAGGTCCGGCAATTACTTGTGCTAAGTGCCAGTACTAGTTAATACTAGTAATTCTCCCAAGGAAGTTAGTGATGATAGTAATAGTTGTGTAGGTAATATTAGTACCCAACAACGAACCTGTCTAGCCATTACTTCTTGACTTCTCCATTGTTTTTCATTTGGTAACAAGACCCAAGCAATCAAATAAAGTCTCATGTAACTGCTACAATTATTATTTTCATGTGAAACAAACTCACATCTATCCTTACCCTGAATTGTTTTAATTTCGTTTAAAGTTAATAAACTTGGCTATTGTGGCTGCTTAGTTGAAATGAACATTCGGTAGGCAATACTAAAGAAGAGTAAATCGGGTTATGTAAATGTTGCTATTGCAGAAGTGCAGGGGTTGATTGGTTTTTTCGAGGGCTGTATCGAAACTGCTTTGTGTAATGTAAAACTAAATAGCAAAACAAAATGCCCAGAATATATATACATTCACATACAACTTTGTGAATTGGGCATCAACGCTATTGAAAATGGTAGTTTGGGGAAGGTTGTTGACTAATATATAGTTGAAGATCTTGTTCTTAGATAGATTAGAAATGTGGCATATTTAACTTATTCCGTTGAGTATTCCGATTGGTTAGACCAGTAGTTCTGATCAGTAATGTTTGCATGGTCTCTCTCCATTAGTGAAGTTGGATGATATGTGCTATAACAGTGCAATGCTGTCTTATGTGGGCATAATTTTCTTTTACGTAAAATAGAAAGTATTTAGGCTTTGAGGTGAACTTACGGTAGTTATTATTTGCTGTGTTTTTTATCATTCATGTCTTTTCTAATCAAATTGCTATGTCTCTGAAAGAAACTGCCACTAACTGAAATTTATGGAAGCTAGTTGGCTTTATTGGATGAGGAGGGTTTGTTTGGTGTTCAGTTCAAACTAGTATTATTAACGACTCTTGGCGTGTTTTTTTAATGATAACTAGATGATACCCCGCACGTTGTTGCGGGAATGTTTTGCAATATGTTCAGTTAGAATTGGTTGTATGGAACATGAATATTTGGAGTAATAATATGAGAACTAAAGCTGAAAATAAATATGATTTGTGGTGTTTGATTATTGTATAATGTAAATATCATAATAAAATGTAAATTCTCATGCATGTTTGCATGTTGAGGTGGCTTTTTATTATGCATGATTGCATGTTGTGGACTTGTGGTCGACCTTTCTCCTTGCATGTTGAATGATGAGGTGGCATACTTGCATGTTGAGAGAAATAGGCTAGTGGGGGCTAGCTATTTAGATATAGAAGATTGCTTTTAACAATACTAAGAAATGTGTTCTTAGACTATCTATTCCGTAGTGTCATGCAGATGCATTTTCATTAAATTAACCTGCATCATTTGAACCAAAAGGTTTCTAATCAAACCATATGTTTGATCTAAGGGCTATATTTAAACGGTGTTATGGCTTAATTTGGATTAGGCATCATGAGTTGATTTTAGAGCAAGGGAGATATAAAAGCAAAGCCTAACCCAAATCCCCTTGCACAAACAGGGAGAGATGTTACTCTCATACTTAGAACATACACACTGGTTAACTTGTTATTACACTAAAGTGCTGGCAATGGTTCTGTTATTAACTAGTTGACCTTGAATTAAATAGGTAAACATGGAAACAAGATACAGCTGGACAGTGAAACTAGACTATTCTTGTACCAGATGGTTGGTACATGGGGCCAACTTCTCTTTCCCAAACCATGGAAAGAATTTCGATTATGGTATGATGAACAGAAAGCCAAAGGAATCAAACCTATTCTTCAAGGCATGGTAAACCTTTTTCTTAATTAAATTTTCAGTGTGCTTCCTCAGTTTTTGTGTTATGTAGCCTTGTGTATTATATTTGCTAGATTAGTTTCTTTAGATTATTTTGATCTCTTATGTGCTGTTGGTTTAGTTAGCTTGATAGTAACTGGTGTTCCACTCTTATCCTCTGCAGAAAACTACAGGATGGTACAGAAAGATGGGCGAGAGAATATGGACTCCTTGGTTCATTAAATTTGTCCACTCACGTGGATACTTCAACATCTACACAAACTTCTTGAAGGAAAGGGCCCTCAGCATCTCTCATAGGGATGCAGGTGTGAACTATGGAAGAAGTGTTGGACCAGATTCTACATTGTTAGATGGGAATAATCTCGATTTCAACGTATGGCAATTGCAGCCTCTAAAGAAGCTAAAATGGTATGATTTCTGCTTTGCTGAAATTCTTCCAGGAAGGTTTGTTAGGAAATTTAGTGAACTTGGTTCTGTGCTCAAGTCCGTCCAATTCGGAAACAATGTTGTACTCATAAGTTTGTATTCAGTGGAACAGAGGATTGTGAGAAACCTTATTTGCCATCTTGAGAAGACGGGCATGCGAAATTACATCTTCCTTGGTGACAATTCAGAGTTTCTGGATGACCTTGCTCATAGAGGACATGCCGTCATTGATGTTATTGAGTTGCTGCAGGGGATCAAAATGAGTGGTTATATGAATTCTGATGGTTTTGTTAAGGAAATACTAGCTAAAGCTTACGTGATACAACATTGCTTGAACCTGGGTTACAACCTATGGGTACTAAATGGTAATATGATTTCACTTGGCAGTAAGTTGGTTGAGCCATCAAATCAATCAGTTGACATTTTTACTGCAGACCCTGTGGATTTGATATTTATAAGAAGCTCACAAGGCTCTAAAAAAACATGGAATGAGCATATTATATCGAGAGTAGCAGATGGTGGATTTGCTTCTGTGAAACATGTGAGTTTTGTTCATATACTTACCAGAGTGTTGGAAAACAATGGTGGTGGTGTGAGGCTGGGGAAACTGAATGAGGAGATAATGACTATGGAATTAGGGCCTAACATGTCGAATAGATCACTGTCAGAGGGTCAAAGTAAAATGCTTTTCTGGTCTGACAGTGTGGCTTCAGATTCGGTACAAAGGCAACTCGGAAATGTGAATTTGTGGTTAATTGACTCAGATTCATCTTGTAGTGCTGTTGTTTGTAACCAAAAGCAGAAGTAGCCTCTGTTATCTTACGCATGTTCTTTTTACATTGATCTCCATTAATGGATCCTAAGGTAATATCGAGTATTTGAGACTTGACCCTGCTCCGGCACTTACCCAAGAATATTGTTAGCATTTATCGATGGATGCATCTGCCATTTCTTTGTGATTTTTGTGGCCTTCAATCCTCCAGAACCCTGCAATTACTTTAGATGTTGATAACTGCTGGTCTTTGGAGCCAATATTCTGTATTTAATGGGGTCTTGAGGTGTTGATCGTTCTGATTGTTTGGTGAGGTTGAAGTATTCAGTTGGCTATGCTAGTCCTGATTGCTAGTCCCCATTCACTGGTACAATTCTTGAGAATCCTCCAGAACTCTGCAATTACATTTGATGTTTATCGCTGCTGGTCTTTGGAGCCAATATTCTGTACTTGGGTCCTTAAGGTGTTGATCGTTCTGATTGTTTGGCGAGGTTGAAGTATTCAGTTAGCTATGCCAGTCCCCATTCACTGGTACAGCTTTTGAGATGAACGTTTCCTGGTATGCTCGGTGTGAATAGCAGTGTTCCCCGCAGGCTCAGACATTGGAGACTGAACTTGGTATGATTCTCTTATATCAAACTCTCTATTCCAATTCTGTAGCAACAATGTTTGTCTGCATTGCAAGTCATTTAGTTGTGGGCAGCTGCAATGAGAAATACTATCAGAGATTTGCCTATGCTTGTTTTATCGTTTGTTCAGTATGATTAGTTTTCCTTCAGTCTTACAAACTTGTGGTGCATCGGTTATTGCTTGTGTTTTTATAGATATGTCCGTGTTTCTGACCACTTGCAACTGAGGCTAGAGGCGACGCCAAGCTTGGAGGCAGCGAAACTTACGAAGATGTTAGAAGCAGCCTTGGCAGCCGAAAATCACAACACTGCGGATGCTCTGGATAGATGTAGAAAGAGTGTAGCTGAAGACACACTGGTAGGTGCCGTTGGTGGTGCAGATGCACTGATGCAATATCAACATAGTACACATTTTACTGTGAGATACGATGAGCATGCATTGTTGATCTGAAGAGATTTCCCAACCAGAGTTTAAGATTCCTAGTAGCTCAATGTTCTTCCACTTGAATGAGGCAGGAGTACCTGTCATTGGATCTCTAAGCACAAACTGTATGGATCCGGCTTGCATGCTCCCTTTCCATGCTCCCACTTCATCCTACGGATGTCCTTTTTCCTTTTTCTTTTCTAATCTAATCATCCCCCCCCCTCCCCCCCGGGATTTTTAGGGGGTGGGGCCGGGTCTTATTTTCTTCCAACCAAATCAAGCAACGTAAGCGGGAGCACGGATGGGAGCATGGGAAGGGAGCAGGCAAGTCTCATCCAAACTGTAGACCATTTTTTCAGGGAAAAACTGATAAAGAGGTTACTTACCCTGAACTTTCCAAAACCATTGTGGCTGCTAGGAATCAGCCGGCTGATCTTTTCCTAAGATCAGCCGGCTGGCCAGCCGTTGATTTGGGCGGCGTGATCTCCTAAACCATGCCATTATAGTACGTCCCTGTCCACTTGATCCCCTGGACCACAACATCACAGTACGTGCTTGTCTCCCCAGCAGCCACTCTAGTCTCGAGCCGCCGGTGTGAGCAAGGCACGTTCTCGCTTCCGTGGTGGCACGAATAGCTCCAGCGAGAACAGCAGCTAGCCGACTTGCAGCACCAAATTTTGCCTGCCCCACCCCGTTGAATATATTGTTTGCATGTACCCCCTCCTTCTAAATATAAGTCTTTCTAGAAATTTCAATTGAAACTACATACAGATGTATATAGACATATTTTAGTGTAGATTCACTCATTTTGCTCCGTACGTAGTCTCTTATTGGAATCTCTAAAAAGACTTATATTTAGGAACGGAGGGAGTATATTGTGTCTTGGGCCCACTGTCGGCGTCCTGGATTCGGAGGTATCCAGCCCTGCCTGCCTGCGGCCCACCGCGTGACTCCATCGACGGCCTGGTACGTTCCGGTATCAACACCAACACCACAAGACCCAGGCCAAGCCTCACGAGGCGGACGACGCCAAGACCCCCGAAGGAAGTGGCCTCCTGAGGGGCGGAGAGTTCTATGCAAGTTATCTCATGAGGCTCAGCTGACGTGAGCCATGACGACCAAGGCCAGGCGGGCGCAGAGCGCAGGTTTCCTCTTCGGTGCAAGCGAGGCAAGCCGCAGGCGTGGAGTTTCGAGAAATTAGCCAAAGGTTGCCATTCCGGTGCAACGAGACCAGGACGGCAGGACGGAGGTCATCAACGAGCCCATCGCAGCGTCACGACCGGAGACTTTTTTTGCAGGCGAAGACTACTTTTGTCAGGATAGACTGTACTGTCCCCTTTCAAATCCCTTCGTTGTGAAATCCCTTCCTGCTCATATTTGGTAACATGACCAAGGCCACTATAAGTAGGACTAGCCACCACCATAGGAAGGGGACCGAAATCAGAACAAGCAGAGCACCGCACCAGCTCAAGAACACCTCACCTCCTGAGGCTTGTTCATCCTCTGTGCTAGTTCATCCATAGCCCCTCGAGGCAATCCACCACATCACACTGGATTAGGGTATCACACCACAACGGTGGTCCGAATCAGTATAAATCTCTGTGTCTTTGTGTCTCTTTGAGCTCGACGCGCTAGGCTAGTAGGTTCGCGAGTAGGCAGGCTGGGCAGGTTGAGATCTCCGCATGCACCCCAGAGTTCGAACCTCTCAAGGGTTGCCGGATCCCTAAATCCGACATTTGGCGCGCCAGATAGGGGTGCGTCGGATCCTCTCTTCCCTCGTTTGATCCGCCTCTGCTCCGACATCTTCATGGCCGACGCGCGCAGGGCTCGTGTCGAGCGTCGGGCTGCTGTCGCCGCCCGCGTCGCTCAGACGGCTCCGGCGTGTGACGGCTGTGCCCGCCGCGCTCCTTTCCCGGTGGCCAACGCCGCCACGGGCCCTGATGGCCACGAGCAGCAAGCTTCATCGCTGCACCCGTCGGTGCGCCGTGATGGCCGCACCGCTACTCTGTCGCTGTCCCCAGCAGCTTCGTCATCCCACGCACGCCGCGGCAGGTGGACGCGCAGGCCGCTCTGCTCACGGTGCGGGAGCTTCTTCGCTACCGCCCGGTGGAAGATCTCTACGAGGAGTGGCTCGAGCGGATCGCTGAGCTCATCAGCGTCGCGCACGGGGGCTCCGACGGGCCGGCTCGCTCGCTACCTCAGCAACCACCTGCAGTGGGCGAGTCGCGCACGGGGCTCCTCCACCACCTCCCGCCCGAGGCGCCATCATCGAGCCAAGGCGTGTGGCTCCGCGGCACGACCCGCAGCGCCCGGCGCCGGCTCGGGATGACGTGAGCTGCCAGGTGGTGCAGCGTCCCAAAGAAGAAGCGCGCGTGCTTCCGGCGCCCCAGCACCAGGCTCGCGTGCCGCCACAGGAGGTGGCGGTGCGCGGGCACCAGGATCACGTTTCACCCCCTTGACGACCTCCGGTGGCCACGACAGGATGCCGCACGTTCACTACGGAGCTCCGCAACGTCGTCTGGCCAAGCAAGTTCAAGCCTGACCTGCCTTCACGCTACGACGGCACCGCATACCCCGTCGAGTTCTTGCAGCTCTACAAGCTTGAGCATCGAGGCGGCCAACGGCGACGAGAAGATCATGGCAAACTGGCTACTGATGGCCCTTAAGGATGGCGCGCGTTCTTGGCTCCTGAATCTGACCGAGGGGTCGGTTTCTTCTTGGGAGGAGATGCGCAACCGCTTCATCGCCAACTTCCAGGGCACTCGCGACCGTCCGCCAGCCGCGGGTGACCTGCGCCGCGTCAAGCAGCAACCTGGAGAGACCCTGTATAAGTATATCCAGCGCTTTAACAACGTTCACCGATGGCGTCCACGATGTCAAGATGAAGGAGGAGCTCGCCATCCACGAGGATCTCTGCACCGCTCTAGAGATGTTCAACATGGCGAACAAGTGTGCTAGGGGTGAGGAGGGACGCCTCTCCCTCCTCGAGCTCCCCGATGCTGATCCAGAAGGCAAGAAGACCAAGACCAAGGGCACGAAGCGCAAGGGGCCAGTCGTTCTTGCGGCTGAGCCAGAGACCAAGCGCGGCTGCGACCACCCCGAGTCATCCAAGGGCAAGCGGCCGTTCTGCGCCTTCCACAATGTTTACAACCACAAACACCAGCGACTTCCAGGAGCTCAGGGCTCTCCGCGACGGGCGCCTCGGTCGACGGCCCGAGTGCAACGATCGAGGTTACGGTCGCGGAGGTGGCCGAGGTGGAGGACGCTGGGATGGACGCGACCGTCGTCAGGAGTGGCGCGACCAGCCTCGTGAGGACCGCTGGCAGGACCAGCCTCGCGAGGGCAACTAGAGGGAGCAGCCTCGTGAGGACCGCTGGCAGGACCAGCCTCGCGAGGGCAACTAGAGGGAGCAGCCTCGTGAGGATCAACCTCAGGACAACGCAGCCTTGCCTCCTGTGCCTCCATCGCCCAGGAGGAATGAAGATCACCACCAGGACGAGGGGGCCGGGGGCTTCCAGGAGCCACGAGCCATCGCCTGCATCTTGGGCGGCTCACAGGCCCCGGCTTCCCTCCACGTCTTCAAGCAGTTTGCGCGCGAGGTGAATGCAGCACTCCCCAAGCCTGAAGCGACTCGCCCTCTCAAGTGGTCCAAGTGCGCCATCACCTTTGACTCATCAGACCGGCTCAATTGCGCGCCACCGCTGGCACGCTCCCCATGCTCTGCTCCCCCGTCATCAGCAACGTGACCGTCGCCAAGACTCTCATCGATGGCGGAGCCGGGCTCACTGTTCTCTCTGTTCAGACGTTTGACAGGCTTCAGGTGCCATACTACCAGCTTCACCCCACCAAGCCATTCTCAGGCGTGACCGATGGATCGACACACCCGATCGGGCAGGTTCGCCTCCCAGTCACCTTCGGCGAGCGCAACAACTACCGCACTGAGCTCATCGACTTCGACGTCGCCGACATCCGCCTGCCCTACA